AAAAATGGAACTACCATATGATCCAGCAACTGCATTCTGGGTATTTTTCTGAAGAAAATGAAAACACTAACTTCAAAAGATATATGCCCTCCTCCTGTGTTCACTGCATCATTATACTTACAATAGCCAAGATATAGAAATAACCTAAGTGTCCATCAATGAATGAAGAAAATGTGGTATATATACACGGTGGAGTATTATTCAGCCATAAAAAAGAATGAAATCATGGCATTTGTGACAACATGAATGGACCTTGAGGGCATTATGCTAAGTGAGATAAATCAGAGATAGAAAGACAAATATCATATGATCTTACTTATATGCCGAACCTTAAAAAAGAAACAAAAGACAAACAGAAACCAAGCTTATAAATAGAACACTTAGGTGGTTGCCAGAGGCAGGGATGAGGATTAGTAGGTGACATGAGTGATGAGAGTCAAAAGGTACAAACTTTTTGGGGCGCCTGGGTGGCTCAGTTGGTTAAGCGACCAACTCTTGATTTTGGCTCAGGTCATGATCTCACACTTCGTGAGTTCAAGCCCTGCGTCAGGCTCTGTGCTGATGGTGTGGAGCCTGCTTGGGAATTTCTCTCTCCCCCTCTCTCTCTGCCCCTTCAGAGCTCTCTCTATCTCTCTCTCTCCCTCTTTCAAAATAAATAAATATACATTTTTAAAAAAAGGTACAAACTTTCAGTTACAAAACAGGTCATGGAGATGTCACGTACAGCAGGGCAACTAGAGTTAGTAATATTGTGTTACATATTTGAAAGTGGCTGAGAGAGTACATCTTCAAAGTTCTCATCATAACAAAATTCTGTAACTACGTGTACTGAGGGACATTAACCAGATACACTGTGGTGATCATTTTGCAATATATACAAATACCAAATCATTATGCTGTATACCTAAGACTAATATAATGCTGTATGTCTATTAGATCTTAATTAAAAAAAAACACACAAAACTTAAAAAAAGGTGGAAGGGAGTTTATTTCTCTACCCATCAAATCCAGGCTGGTCTCAGGTCAGAGGTGAGGCTGCATGAGTTCCAGAGCCTGGCCTTGGGAGGCCTTGCAGCCTCTACCTTTGTCCTCTCGGCGGCTGCCCTGAGGCTGCTGTGCTAGGAAGAAACTGATCTACTGCCCTGGAGGACGACAGGCCACGCAGAGAAGAGAGGTGCCCGAGACAACTGCCAGCACTCGCTTTCAGACACGAGAGTGTAACCATCTTGGCAATTTAAGGCCAGCCAACCCTGCAGCTAGCTGAGCACCATCCCACGAGCAGGTCTGGGCTCCACCGGCAGAGCTCCGCCCAGCCAACCCACAAAATGACGAGAAAACAAATCCTTGCTGAAGCAACTACTTTGTAGAGCGGTTTGTTATATGCACAATACATCACTGGTACCACTGGGTATTAAATGAAGTGAAAGTTTATTAACCAGGAAAAGCAGGCATCATCAGCTGAAGAAAGGATGTTGGGTGCAAACCGTAGGTAGCACAGGACCACCTCATCTGACAAAACGTGCCTGCATGCGGACACACAGACAAAAAGATCTAGGATACACATACTAAGTAATAACCAAGCGATATAGAATGAGGTAAACTCCCAGTAGTGAAAAGGTTTTCTTATTTTTGCTTTCTGACATCTTTTATTTCTTATTTTTGCTTTTCTGTATTTTCCATATGCATATATGTGCTTTTACATTAATAAATAGTTTTAAAAATATATTATTTTTTTTTTAAAAAGGTCTATAATATTTACTTCAGACAAAAAGGTCAGCTGGGCAGGCATCTGGGTGGCTCAGCTGGTTAAGCATCCGGCTTCGGCCCAGGTCATGATCTCATGGTGCACAAGCCCACGCTGGGCTCCCTGCTGTCAGTGCTGAGCCCACTTTGGATCCTCCATTCCACGCCCCCATCACTGCCCCTTCCCCACTCATGTGCTTTCTCTCTCTCTCTCAAAAATAATAAATTTTAAAAAATTAAAAAAAAAAAAAGGTCAGCTAGGTCCCTGAAGAGCTCAACATGAAAATTCTTGCTATCTCTAATCTATAAACTTAACAGATAGTTATGGGCTGAACTGTGTCCTCCCTGCCTGCCCTAAATTAATATATTGAAGCCCTAACCCCCACTACCTCAGAACGTGACTGTATTTGGGGACAAGGTCTTCAAAGGTAATTAAATTACTAAAATGAGGCATTCGGGGTGGGCCCTAATCCAATCAGATTCGTATCCTTATAAGAGGACTATTGAACACATAAAGCACCATCAGGTGTGATGCACAGAGAGGGGACTGTTGGAAGAGGCAGCAAGAGGATGGCCATCTGCCAGCCATGGAGAGAGGCCTGGAACAGACTTTCCTTATGGCCCTCAGAGGAAACCAACCCTACCGGCACCTTGATCTGGGACTTCCAGCCGCCACAACAGTGAAGAAAACAGACATCTGTTGTTTCAGCCCCTTGTCTGTGGTATTTTGTTACAGCAGCTCAAAGGGACTAAGATGAGGACTAAGTGTATAGCACAACATTTGGAAAACTGGCCTAGTGTGCATTCTAAGCATTGCAAACTGAACCATAAAAACAGTTGATAATAAAGCCTTGCTCAAAGATTCTGCAAAGTTTTGATTTTAAAGCCAAAAAAACAACTATTAACATGCACAATGAGAAATTATGTTAAATACATCAACACAAAGAGGAAGTAGAGGGCATGCATTCCAAAGGTACTGCCTCACTCATGATGGAGCCGGAGTGCTATTCTAGTCCACATTCTACTCCTGAGATGGCTCCAGAAACAGGTTTTCTTCTGTATTTATTTATGGGCCACTAACAAAGAGCAAAAGTAATGGAGAACCACCAGCTAAAAAGCAATACTATTAAAGACTATTGTTTTGTTTTGCTTTGTTTTTAAATGTTTATTTTTGAGAAAGACAGAGTGCAAGGGAGAGAATCCGAAGCAGGCTCCAGGCTCCGAGCTGTCAGCACAGAGCCCAACATGGGGCTCGAACCCATGAACTGCGAGATCATGACCTGAGCCGAAGTCAGACGCTTAACCAACAGAGCCACACCGGGCACCCCAAGACTATTGTTTTTTAATCAAATACAAAATCGTCCATTCATCTACTTCTAAATTAAAAACGTGATTTACCAAACTACACGATTTACGATAAACAGTAAAAGAAAAGACCGAGTCCAGTTATGGTGCGAGAACAGGAAGAAGAGGAGCGGAAGAGAAAAGCTGCTCTGCGGTGGTGCAGAGTCTGGGAGTGTGGCTGCTTGCCACGTCAGGCTCACACTACTTACATGATCTTAGGCGCATGATTTCACTTTGATGAGCCGGCTCTTTATAAGGGGAGAAGCTTAAACAAGATAATTACTTCTCAAGCAGTGTTCATGGACTCCCTAAAGCTTCCCTGGAGATTCTTGTAGGGTGGGTATAGAAATAAACTGGCAGGACTTTGTGCCCTTGGGCTCAGATTCAAGCAGGGGTACTCATTTCTATTTGTTTTCCATTTGAATGTTTGCGTCGTCACTTGAGGGAAGAGTTCTCCTGCCTTAAGTGTTCAAAATCATTGTACGAAAGTGCTCTGTGCCATATACCTGGGATACTCCGGGAATACGTATTTAAGAATCAGTAAGGAACAAAGCTGAGCAGGTAGACCCAGGAGGCAGAAAGAAGAGCCAAATGATAACTGACTTGCAGGAACACCGGGTAGATGATGATGGTAACAGGGGACCCTGACAGGGCAAAGGAGAGTGTGACCTCTACGTATACAAGATTTAGGACTGTTAGTTGACGGTAAGCATTCCAAACTGAGCCTGAAGTGTAACTTCATGACTCAAAAAGTGAATGCAACTTTAGGCGTCATTGATAAAAGTATAATTTCCAAAATAAAGGCATTCGACAAAACTGTCAAATATATAAGAACCTACCTGTCTGTACTACCAATAATCAAAGAGTATAGGCAGCACTGTTTGGCGGACTTTGAAATGAGTCAGACCCGAGTTCCAATCTTCATTCTCAAGTTTACACAAGATATGTAACTTCAGGAGATACAGCTTCTAGAACCATCAACATCACTAATGAGGGGACTCTAGCGGCACTGTCGTGAAGGGCTAGTGATCACCATGGATAATACCTGGCACGTAGCATGGTGCAGGCACACCACTCACACTCAAGAAATAGGTGACGCTTACAGAGCACGATGCGGACTTCTATCTCCTCTAACCCTCAGAACAGTTCGAGAACCAGGGGAGCATAGCACATAAATGCAAATTATCACAAGGGTGGGACTAAAGTGTAACAGATGAAATAGTCAATGAGGACAGAGTACAGCATCACCATTTATCATTAGGAGGAACAGAAAACGCTGCGACTTTCCCGCGAGGCAATCTGGCAACGTGTAACGGAGGACATTTCCAAAGTTCATACATGATGGGCCAACTCTGTTTGGGAAAGGAAAGGATTCAGAAAGTGTCTGTGGGTAGAAATGGGAGTGCCCCCATTGACTGGCTGGTGAGCATCTCCTTTAAATGCAGATTTTTCACCAAAAAAGCAAAGCATCTCCAAGAATAGAAGTCTCCCTTTTATCTTTTTCCCCAACTACCAGTTTCCACAAATATCCCTTTTTCAGCCCGAACGTGGAAAGCTCCTGAGAACTCCTGAGGCAGAAACTGTGGCCCGTGTCACCGTTCCGGTCCTCACATTTGAGTGGAAGCACAATGCCCAGGGAAGCAGACCCTCCCTAATGACTCAAGTATTCCTTAAGACCAATAAAGGAATGTGGAATAGAAGTATATAAACCCCTTCAGGGTGGGAGGTCCCAAATCCAGAACAACTCATGGTGTTCAAGGAACTGCCGTCACAGAAAGAATGAGAGTCAAACCGTTTCATTTCTTCTAAGTCTGAAGAAGGCGGTCCTTTGAGTTCATTGCAACCCAAGACCCAAGGGAAAAAGTGTTCTGGTAAAAAGAACAACTGACAACCGAGGGCCAACGGACACTTACCTAAAATGAGATGAAGTTTGGTTTCTGTCTGGAAAGCATAGTGCAACGTCACCAAAAATGCTGACTGCCTGATGTGCTCCAGGACTTGCCGCTCCGTCCTTGTGTGCTCTGTGGTTTTGGCCTTTTGAACTATCGTTGCCTTTTTCAGTACTTTCATGGCATACAGCTTTCCAGTATCGTGACCGCTGATTTTACGAACCAGAAATACTTTTCCATAAGCTGAAAATGAAAAGAAAAAAGAAAAAGAATGAAAATACTACACAGAACGGTAATCTATTGGCAGGTGAAAGTTACGAGATGCGCGACGAACTTTCCTTGATGAAAAAGTACCTTTATTGCGGTTTCAAATAAAACAGCTTTGACAGATTTCTTTCGTTGTAGGCCAAATATATTTCTAGGTCTAAACCTTGGTATTTACATATTTCACCACTGCTGACAGCATTATGTTTTCACTCTTTTACTGGTATTTTCTCCTCAATATTTTTAGCTGTAGGGAACTAGCTGCTATTATGGTCAATTAACCACAATCTGATTCTGGAACAACTAGGACATTTTAGACATCAGATAAAATCTTCAGGTTTTGCTGCTGATGTAAACAAATGAAAACAGTTCTTAAGAATCTCATACACATAGAAACCTAGCACCTCGACTATCCCTCTATATTTAATAAAAAAACTAAAGAAACATAAGCTGACGTTATATAAACAAAAGAGATCTTCAGACTTAGAAAACACTAAAATACCTTAACTTGTAAGCATCCTGACAGAAAAGCCCCTTTACATCTTTGGGCAGTAATTCATGGCTCAGTAGGTCAACCTCAAAAAGTTTTCCCTAAGGGCTCAGTTGGACAAATCCTGTGTGTGGTGCCACTCCCCCAGATGGAGGAACTGGGGCCGAATGCGCAGGTATCTGCATTTATTTCCCTAGAGAAAGGCGAAGAGGGCAGGAAGGGGTAGGAGGAGGAGGGTGAAGGAGAGGCAGACAAAAACACTGTGACAGGGAAGGGGTAGGTCCCCAATGCATCTCTACAGTGTATTAAAATTCTCTTTCCTTTGAAACACCTCCTGGGTGGGTAAGCCCAGTCTCACTTTTGAAGTTCAGCACTTTATTTATTTATTTTCAGAGAGAAAGAGCACAAGCAGGGGAAGAGCAGAGAGAGAGGGAGAAAGAGAGAGAGAGAGAGAGAGAGAGAGAGAGAGAGAGAGAGAGAATCCCAAGTGGGCTCCGTGCCATCAGAGCAGAGCCCAATGCAGGGCTTGAACTCACCAACTGTGAGATCATGACGTGAGCTGAGGTAAAGAGTTGGACACTTAACCGACAGTGCCACCCAGGCGCCCCAAGTTTGATACTTTCATCAGACTGTTCTGGAGTTAGTCTGAGTTCTGACCCAGACCTTCCCTCCAGGGCCTCCCTGCACCCTGCCCACACCTCTCCGGTATTTAGCCCATAATTCTGTTCTGATCCACTCACTAGTGTGAGAGCGCTTAAAGGGAGGGGCTCCTGTATACTCCACGTTATTCAGGTCAGTCCTTCGAGAAGTAAATTAGTACCAACACATGACAGACATATACATATGGATTGGTGAAAGGCTGGAATACTCCTGAGGAGGACGCTTTCTAAGGAACTTGCTTATGCCAGGCTCTGTGCTGAACACATTCCACACACTGGTTCACTTAATCCTCGGAACAGCTAGTGAAGGTGGTACTTTTAGTAATTGCAAGCTACAGATAAGAAACGGGTTCCAGGACTGTAAGGAAGTGGCCAAAAGACTTGGGTAAGCGGTGGCAGAATGGATACAAACTTCAGGGACCACGCTTTGGGCTGAAAATGAATTTAAGAGATGATTCTTCACAAATACTACAAATCGGATGCTCTGGTTTCAGTAAAATCACTATCATAATCATACTGAACACATTCTGGAATACAGAGAAAGTGCATAAAGGGTTTGTGTTCTACCCCATTGTAAATAAAATGATCACAGACTGAGATTTTAGTGAGGTAGAGGTGAACAAAAAAAACCAAAATGACAACTTTCCGAAGCTAACAAATTAACCTAAAGTATAAAAACGAAAAAAGCTCATCTATTCCAGAAGCCCTGCCAGGAAGCTGGAAAATATTCTGATGAAGCGTGCTATATCTTCCACAGAGTCAGCCATGACAGAAACTCGGGAGGAAGTCAAGTCCTCTACAAGTATGGGGCTTTTGTGCTCCCTACACACACAGCATCCGCCCAGACCCCCCCCGTTCTCTGAGACTCCCGTCTCCAGAATGCTCCGGTCCTTAGAAATTATGTGTGCTGTCCAACAAAGCAAATCTTCCCAAGGCATCACTGAAAGATGGCTGTTCAGCTTATAGCTAGCTAGTCTTTCAGCCTAAGTGTTGACCGTGTGGCTGACAGACGGCAGGGTGTTAGCACTTAACATCTGAGTACTTGCCAGGCACTGTAGAGGTATATTAACTCATTCAATTCCTACATCATCCCTGTAAGTAGGGGAGAAGGATTACCACACTGAGAAACTGAAGCATCGAAGACCACACTTGCCCACCTGGCCCTGCGTCCCACACGCTTAGCTCTGCTCCATCCGCCTCCCTTCAGTGGACGACCTCACAGGCAAATAAATAGGGAGTGAGACATTAAACAGAAGTCACGATAGAAGTAAGGTGGGTTTTTGGTGTGATGGACACGGGGCCGTTAACTTTTATGAGGAGAAAGTCTTGCAAAGTAGCCTATTTTATTGATGGGGAGAAGGGATGGAAATATTAGAAAATGTTCCTTTTATCGAGTGGACACAGACCTTTTTTATAATATTTATCTGTTGGTCCGTCTATACCCTCTGGACTTACAAAAAGAGTATTACCCTTCCCTGTAAGATCATTTTTTAAATACTTAAAAACACTACCATGCCATCTCACCTATGCAAAATGTCCTTATTCCCTAAGCCAAACTTAAAGTAAATGATTTTGAGACTTCTCACCACTAGGAGGTTCCACTGACGTACTCTGTGAGTTACAAATATTTTTTCTTTGATTTCTTTCCTATTACTTTAACTCTTAAAAAAATTTTTTAAAAATGTTTATTTTTGAGTGAGAGAGAGAGAGAGAGAGCGAGCAAGGGAGGGGCAGAGAGAGAGGAAGACACAGAATCCAAAGTAGGCTCCAGGCTCGGAGCTGTCAGCACGGAGCCCAACATGGGGCTCAAACCCATGAACCGTGAGATCATGACCTGAGCTGAAGTCGGACGCTCAACCGACTGAGCCGCCCAGGTGCCCCTCTTTCCTATTACTTTAAAACTATGTCCTATTATATTGGGGAGACTGGGTGGCTCAGTCGGTTAAGCGTCTGACTTCGGCTCAGCTCATGATCTCATGGTCGGTGAGTCTGAGCCCCGTATCAGGCTCTGTGCTGACAGCTGGGAGCCTGGAGCCTGCTTCAGATTCTGTGTCTCCCTCTCTCTCTCTCTGCCCCTCCCTCACTCATGCTCTGTCTCTCTGTCTCTAAAAAATGAATAAATGTTAATAAATTTTTAAAAAATGTCCTATTATGCTAAATATGAGGTAGCTATTGCTACCTACATACATACAGGATGCTAATGTATGTGGTCAAATAATATAAAATCATCCTGCTGCTACATTATATACTAATTGTCAAATAGTAAACAGTCATCCACCTTGCCATGTGATGAGATCCAGAAGCTTACCAATAACATAAGCTAAAGACTGCATATATCCTGCCAATACAATTATTTTCCCTATCAGAAAGCGTCAGGGAAAAGAAAGAAGGATAAAGCTTACAAATCTTCTGTTTTACTTTTATAGTTGCCACGATTAACTAAGGCTACAGTACTTTTATCACATAGTAAGTGCCAAAGGTGTTTATGTCAACAAAATTCAACAAATGCCTTACAACATTCCACACAACAAACATTTCAGACAAGTAGGATCCTAGGAGTAGGATGCCTAACTAAAACATAGTTGTGTCCAAACAGCCTTGTTTTGGAAGCACCCATCAGGCTGCTTGTCACACTGCAGAGGGGAAGAAAACCCAGTCGCTACGCCCTCCCTGGGTAAACTGGGCTGCAGATGAGTACAGAGAGAGAAAGTGAAGCAGCCCTTCTGATGAACAGCACCATCCACTCCAGAACCACCTACATGCATTCCAGTGTCTGAAGAGGGGACACAAAAAGTTGAGTTGATGGAAGTATTGTATCCTTTTAGTTCGTAACCAGATGAATGACTGCTTGCCTTCTAGTGCAGCCAACAACTAACTGGCTTTCATTCGGTAAGTGGTGTGCCGACCTCGTTAAAGAATTCCTATTCTGAAAGCATCGTCTAGAACCTGTAAAGGCTACCAATGCTGACAACCCTCCTGGCCATAAAAAATGAATAGTACTTCCTGCTCAGATGGAGCCCCTAAAATGGATGTTTGGCCACACATCCGGATTTGCTGCTTAGGTAGAGACTAAGATTCCTGCTTCAGCATGACTCTAATTTTCACATCGACACGCAATGGTTTCAAAGGCTTTATGAGCAATCCTCACAGAAGTCTTGTGTACTGCTGTGAATCTTATCAATTGCATTAGCATCAGCACCTCTTCAAGATACTCTGTCAAGAAATGTGAGAAAAAGAGGGCATGGAGTTCACTGGGTTTCCAGAGGACCAGTCTAACAGCGCTTGACGGAGAGGTAGAGGTTCTACTTCTTTTGAGACTGAAGGAAAGTCAATTCTAAGAATGCATGACAAGAAGGATTAGTTCCTGACTTTAGTTGATAGACATCTGGGACCAAATGAAGGAAGTAAATCCTTCAATTCTAGGCCCAACAGACGCCATTTTGGGTTCTGCTTAAGACCGGAGTGCTCTTCAAGCAGCCATTTCAGAGGAGAGAACTGGATCAAGACACATAAGTAAACTTCTCCACAAATCTGGAGAAAGAACTCCACAGCTGGGAGGAAACCAGCTCTCTTATGAAGGTTAGTTCTGTTCAAAGTGAAATGCGGATTTAGAATTCTATCCTCGCTGACACAGACAGCACAGTGTTGGCAAACCTTGTTGACAACGATCTCAATAGCTTGAGGATAAAGCAAATAATATAAAATGAACTAAAACCAAGCACCACGGGGAAATGTCTAGTTCCTTGGAGTACGTCTCTGTTTGCTTTTCCAAGTGTGGGAATCTTACTCCACTTGCCACAATTAGTATTATCAATCAGGTGTTTAGTGCT